GATAGTTTTCCCCCTCACTAATCCTTGTGGAGAGGATATGATATAACCTATAAAAATACTTACTTTTGCTTGATGCTTTACCGCTTCAGCAATTATAAATGAATTTTAAATATATCTACCGCATATTGTTTAAAAGAGAAGAAACTAGTTTGTGATGCTAAATAGATGAATTATAAAATAATTAGATTCACTTTACATTCCTTTGAATTGGGCAGCCAAACACGATTCTAAAGGAAGGACGGTGATTTCATGTGTTGTAAGAAGAAATCTATTGATGGTTATCAAAAGAGTCAAAGTAGGAAAAAGAAGTAAGACTTTTTCTTCATGCAATTTTTTATAGAAAATCAAATTGGCTACTTCTACATTATGGGTATGTGATACTAGATGTTGATCTCACATTTATATGAATGTGACGAGTCTTTTAAGAAGTTTTACATTGATTATAATTTAAGTTAGATTACGTCTAGAATAGAACAATGTATTTTATTGACTATAAGATGTATGATTAGACTTAAATTAGAGCTTGAAATGAAACTAAATAATTGTTATTTAGTTTTATTTAGTAAAATAAACATTAATTCTAAGTCTTGTATTGACAAGATAAGAAGTGCATGTTTTAGTAATATGACAAATGTTGTCCTTATTATTCAAATAATGTTTTCAATACTAAATCAAGTAGTAGATTTGAGTTTTACGGTCATGATAAGCTCATCTATAATAAATTTGGGATGGATAAAATATAATTTGAAATGTATATATTTAGCATGATTTAGAATTCTTTTGAGAAGAGTTCAAGAGTGAAGTAGAAGGAAACAACTCGAAAAGGTATTAAGACCATACGAACTGTTCGATATGATATATACCTATATAAATAATATAACGATCATGTAAAATTATATCATTTTTGACATTGAAAGATTTAAGATAGCTAAATTATATCTTTGTGACTCTTTTGCAAATTTTTTTACATACTATTATTCATATCCATAATCAAAATCATTTAAAGTAATAGTAGAGACACCATATTTGATATGGAAGTAAAAATACCTAGTTTGTCTTTATGATCATTTGGGTTGTAAGGTTTATTAAGTAAACTTGATCATAATCTAGATGAATATGTATTTATGGATGTATCTCAATGAAAAATAAGAGATACATATTCTATAACACGTTATGGGAGAAAAAAATTTGTCGATAGAACTGAAGTCTTCCTTTAGAGACATTATGTATCTAAAGGAACTAGTGAGAGTGATGTAGAACTTGAAGAATTTCAAGCATCAAAAAATACATATATTTATGAGAATGAAATATGAACCAATTCAACAAGGGAGTTGTTTTTGGACCATTGGTTCATGTAGCACAAGATCTAGAGAAGATCATAAATGATCTTCTAAAATAAATATAAGTTGTTTAAATCCAATTATGAATTAGAGCAAACTTCTTGGAGTTGAATCCTTTTATTAATGAAGTTTTATGTAAACTTGAATTAATAAATGTCACGTTTAAATCTTGTGCACATATTAAGTTTAGTGGAAGTATTTGCATTAATCTAGTATAGTATGTAGGCGACATATTTATCATCAAAACAATTTCTCTAAAACACCAATGTAGGACATGGTTAAGGAAATGGTTTTGATGAAATGCTTGGGTGAGGTTTTCTAAATGGTTAGGAATCATAATCTATAGAGATAGATGGTTGATGAATCTCAATCCTAGCACAAATACATATTTCAACAAAGTGTTGAGATACCTAATATGCATAATTCTCATATTAAGATTATTGCATGTGGAGCATGATGTTTTGTCTAATGAACAATGTCTTATCTCATTGGATGAGAAAAAGGACGCCATAATATGTACTATAATAGATGTGCTATATGTTATGAGCATAAACAATAAGTACCAAAATGATTAAAGTGTTCATCACTAGATTACTATCAAGAAATTCTATGAATATCTTCTTAAAAGTACCTGATGTTCCTTTTCTTGAGAGTATATGAGAATAATCATTGTAAAGGAGTTACAATGATGTTATTCCAAAATATATATATATATATATATATATATATATATATATATATATATATATATATATATATATATATATATATATATATATATATATATATATATATATATATATATATATATATATATATATATATATATATATATATATATATATATATAGACTAAATAGGTTGACCTATATATGCATATATATTAGAAAAAAGACTAAACAGAATGACCTATATATGAATATATATTAGAACAGATGCTAAATAGGTCGGTTTATATATACATATATAGATCGGTTATAAGGATTCTTAAGTAATATGGATTAATTGAAAACTTTAATGAAAAATGGACTTTTAAATAGGCTTTCAGGTCAAATCAAACTTTTAAAGACCAAGCCTAAAAAACGAGTTTATAATAGACCATATGTCAGACTCAGACCTATTAAATTTATCGTAGGCCGAACTCAGACCCTCTAAACCCTAACCTAACCTAACTTATTTCCACCTCTATTTACAGATGATTAATATCATAATGACCTTTATATTTTATTTTAATATTAATATAATTATACTTAATTATTTTATAATATCATTACTAATTAGAATATTAATCAAAATTCTCTCTCTCTCGAAATCTTTCACTTTTATTTTAATTATCTTAATTAATATCTTTAATCGGTGATTAGTATTATTTTTCAATTGAGAAAAAGTAATTAACTTTTACTTTTCAATTTAAATTTATGATTATATAAAAATGTTACTACTATAGAAAATAAAGGACACATGCAACTCGTGTTCTAAAAATCAGACTAAATCTGACGCTCAGATTGGTTAAATTGAAAATTAGGTGGTCTCATATGATTTTTAGACTGAACATGTTATTGAATTGGTTAGAACCGGGAAAAACCAGTGAACAAGCAATTTTAGAAAATCGGCGATTTAAATGTATGTTTTTTATTGACAAAACAACGATGATTTGATAGTTTTTTTTTGAAAAAATTATAATTAAATTTGTTCAAAACTTATTTAAAATTTTTCTCTGTTTATAATTAAATTTGATTCAAAATTTATTTAAATTTGTATTTTGTATTATTTTATTTTGAGTGATGGTTATGTTTAGAATTTGAATTTAAAGAATTAACATGAAAAATATTTTGAATTTTTAAAATTTTATTGGTGTCGTAATATTTTTTAGATACCGAATCATCTGGTTCGACCGATTTAATAAATATATAATTTTATTATAAAGTCCGATTTATTCAATAGAATTATCTGATATAATCATGTGGTTCGACCAATAAACCAATGATCCAATATCCTCACTGATTTAATAACCGGTCTGGTGTTTAAAACATTACTTACAAATATATATATATATATATATATATATATATATATATATATATATATATATATATATATATATATATATATATATATATATATATATATATATATATATATATATATATATATATATATATATATATATATATATATATATATATATATGATCGTACCTGACCAGAATTGAACCGTCACAATTGGCTTCGAACTGAATTTGAAGAAGATGGGGTACCTGCAAGACACTCCGATGACAATGTGAGAGACGGAATGAGCAGACAAGCAAGTATATTGGTGTGTATGAAATGAATATCTGACCCTCTTAAAATAGAGGGTATTTATAACCCTCAGCGTTGGGCCAAAGTCCCTTTATTGGACCGACCAAACAGGCCCAACAAAGGGACTGCCAGGTTCTACGTGAGTAGTGGGGACTTGCACGTGGTCCCTTACCTGGATGATGCTCTCCGCATAATAAAGAAGGTAACGACGCGATCTTCCCGGGACCCTGAGGACTCCGAAACATCCGGAGAGGTTGAAAGTCTGCCCTACGAGGAGGGTACTCGAGCAAGACTTGGATTGGGATGTTCTTCTCCTGGGACGTTCCCCGTCGGGGACACTCTTCGCGGGCACCGGTGGGCGCAGTCGTGTTCGACCAGTCACCTATGATCGGAGTGTGCCCGGAGGATCTGATGCTCAGCATGGTATATTGTAAAGCTTGGATTGGGCTACGGGCAGGCCCAGTCCAGAAATATATATATATATATATATATATATATATATATATATATATATATATATATATATATATATATATATATATATATATATATATATATATATATATATATATATATATATATATATATATATATATATATATATATATATATATATATATATATATATATATATATATATATATATATATATATATATATATATATATATATATATATATATATATATATATATATATATATATATATATATATATATATATATATATATATATATATATATATATATATATATATATATATATATATATCATAAAAATATAGTACAATAAATGAAAAGGATAAAAAAGACAATTCATATGTTAACTTAATTTTTTTAAAATTAACATTGCAAATAATATTTATATAAAATAAATTTTTGTTATTTTTTTAAATTATAAACTTAAAGTGTTGCTTATCTTCTCTTATGAATCCATAGTTTATTAAAAAAAAAATCCAAATGATTTATTAAAGGTTCTAATAAATATAAATATATAAAATATAAAAGGCTAATGTACCTAATAATCATTAAGTCAAGTTCATTCTACTCATTCCAAATCTCAATATTTTTATTATACTCTTCACATAAAAAATAGCCACGTAAATAATCTCAGTATTTGTAGCTAATATCTATATCCACTCTTCGAGTCAAAAATAAAAAACTCTAATAGGAATTTTCTTAGGTTGTTTTTGGAGTATATTTCATTAATCAATGACATGAACTCAATGAATGTGAATTACTGTTTCGAACATAACTAATGTGAATTATAATGTAACCAATCAGACTAAAAAAATAAGGCTAGTTATTCCATCACCAACTTGCACCTTTGATGTTCCACCAAACACTCAAATCCCAAACTTCCTACACGTTAATGGCTGCTTGTAATTGTTCAAGGCTTTTACCTTTGGTTTCTGGAACTACTAAAACTATAAATAATATAGCTACTGCATTGACCCAACCATAAAGAATGAAGGTACCTGCAAAACATAATTACAAAGTAAACATGCATCTTCTATAGCTTTCTTGAACATAAATGACAAAATGGTTTGTTAATCAAGAAATAATCAAACACATTTATTGTGAATAATTTACATTCATAGAATAGGAAATTGCCATTATAAGTTGTAATTAGTTATTATGAGTTGTAATTAGTCATTATGAGTTGTAATTACCGACACTATTATATATAGTATCAAATGCAATGAGAAAGGCATCAAGCCAGAATTCATGACATGGTATCAGAAGGGTTCGATCTAACCTGTAAATCCTTGTTCTCTTGGCTGAATAGCGACACCCCACTGGGTCGTTCTTGAAATCGTGTTTCTTGTTTGTATTTCTCGAAATCTGAAATCTTTCAATTGTCGTTTTGTGATTTCTTCATTGTTGTTGCTTCGTGATCTTGATTCCGTGTTTATCGCACATTGTTTCGGTGATCGTTAATCATTTGGTGCTGCTAACATATTGTGCTTTGCGATTCCGTTTCGTATTCTCGGCGATTCTGCTTGGTGATCGTTGTTCTTGGTGATTCTGTTCGGTGATCGTGGTTTCATTGTTGAATTGTTGCCGATTTCTAGATCGTGGGTGTTTCTTCACCGTTCGTTAGCTACTGCGTGGTTTCCTGGTTTGCTTCCCATTGTTTTACTATTTATTTAATTGGTATTATTAAATAAATTGGTTGCACGTGCACACTGGGTTTGGATTTATCCTGTTTATTTAACAATACAAAGGGGTTATATCTAATGGCAATGGAAAATGAAAAGAATTTTTGTGTCCGTTTTACCGGCAAGAATTATTCTGCATGGGAATTTCAGTTCAAGATGTATGTTAAAGGAAAGGGATTATGGAGTCATTTAGATGGTGTTTCTAAGGCACCGACGGAGAGAACTGGTTTAGATGCGTGGGAAACTAAAGATGCTCAAATCATCACTTGGATTCTCAACAGTATTGATCCTCACATGATCAATAACTTACGCTCTTTTTCAACTGCTCAAGAAATGTGGAATTATCTAAAGCGCATTTACAACTAGGGCAATTCGGCAAAACGTTTTCAGTTGGAGTTTGAAATAGCCAACTACAAACAAGGTGATTTGTCTATTCAAGAATACTATTCTGGTTTTTTAAATCTCTGGGCAGAACACTCTGCTATTATACATGCTAATGTTCCCAAGACCTCTCTCGCGGCTGTTCAAGAGGTTTACAACACAAGTGGTCGAGACCAATTTCTCATGAAATTACGCCCAGAATTTGAGGTTGTCAGAGGTGCCTTGCTGAATAGGAATCATGTTCCTTCTTTAGATACATGTGTTGGAGAACTCCTAAGGGAGGAACAACGTCTTATTACTCAAGGAGTCATGTCTCATGATGCTACCATTTCCGAGCCCGTGATGGTTGCATATGCTGCTCAAAGTAAAGGTAAAAATCGTGATATGAAACAGGTTCAGTGCTTCTCTTGCAAACAATTTGGTCATATTGCTCGTAGCTGCAATAAGAAGTTTTGTAATTACTGCAAGCAACAGGGTCATATTATCTCTGAGTGTCCCACACGTCCTCCACGACCAACACAACGTTCAGTACACATTCCATGCAAATCATGCGGTTGGTCCTTCCACTAATGGGGCATCAAACGATAGTGCTATACAACCTGAATTGATTCAACAAATGGTACTTTCCGCTCTCTCGGCCTTGGGAGTTCAGGGTAAGTCTTCTAATGTTTCTCGCCCATGGTTTCTTGATTCGGGTGCATCCAATCACATGACAGGTTCTTCAGAGTATTTGAACAATTTACACTCTTATCATGGTAATCAGAAAATTCAAATAGCTGATGGTAATACTTTATCTATTACGGATATTGGCGACATCAACTCTGATTTTCGGGACGTGCTTGTATCACCTGGACTTGCGTCTAATTTATTATTTGTTGGTCAATTGGTAGATAAAAATTATGATGTTAACTTTTCTCGTGATGGTTGTCTTGTGCAGGAACAAGTGTCAGGGAGAGTGATCGCGAAGGGGCCTAAAGTGGGAAGACTGTTTCCACTCCAGTTTATTTCTAATCATATATCTCTTGCTTGTAATAATGTTTTGAACTCTTATGAGGATTGGCATAGAAAATTAGGTCATCCAAACTCTGTTGTTTTGTCTCATTTATTTAAAAATGGTTTGTTGGGAAATAAAAATGTTTCTAATGCCTCTATTTCATGTTCTGTTTGCAAATTAGCTAAGAGTAAAACACTTCCTTTTCCGTCTAGTGCTTATCGTGCTTCCACTTGTTTTGAAATGATTCATAGTGATGTATGGGGTATGTCTCCTGTAGTTTCTCATTCTCACTATAAATATTTTGTCACATTTATTGATGATTATAGTCGTTTTGTTTGGATATATTTCCTTCGGTCTAAATCTGAAGTGTTTTCTGTGTTTAAGAAATTTTTAACATATGTTGAAACTCAATTTCAAGCAAGTGTTAAAATTTTTCGCTCTGACTCTGGTGGTGAGTACATGTCTCATAAGTTTCAGGAATACCTTCAACAAAAAGGCATCTTGTCGCAACGATCTTGTCTCAATACCCCTCAACAAAATGGTATTGCAGAACGGAAGAATCGTCATTTGCTTGATGTAACACGCACATTGCTTCTCCAAGCTTCAGTACCATCCCGATTTTGGGTAGAAGCTCTTTCCACAGCTGTCTTCTTGATCAATCGTCTTCCTTCTACGGTTATTGAACTTGATTCTCCTTTCTTTCGTCTTTTTAAAATTCATCCTGATTATAGTGCTTTACATACTTTTGGGTGTGTGTGTTTTGTTCACTTACCTCCTTTTGAAAGGCATAAGCTTGGAGCACAATCAGTTCAATGTGCATTTATGGGATATAGTCACTCTCATAAGGGATTCGTGTGTTATGATGTCACTAACCATCGTTTTCGCATTTCTAGAAATGTGACATTTTTTGATAATCAGTTTATGTTTCCTTGTGTTTCTCCTGCCATTAATGATATTGTTACTCTTCCTAAGTTTTCTATTATGCCTCAATCTATAGAACGTTATAAACCAAGTCATGTATATGTCAGAAAACACAGACAGCAGGTTCCCACACCCCTTCCCGACGCTGAACCGCCACCTGATCCTGTACCGGTTGAACCACGGCGTTCTGGTCGAATATCTCGTGCACCAGATAGATATTCACCAGACAGGTATGATTCCTCACATACTTCTCTGACTGCCACACTCTCTAGCATATCTATTCCTACTTGTTACTCACAGGCTGTTAAGGATGTGCGATGGATAAAAGCAATGAATGAAGAGCTTCAAGCTCTTCAAGAGAATTTCACATGGGATTCTGATTGAGAATTTCATGGGATTGTTTATGAGAATTTCACATCCTGATTGTCTCTTGCCCTCCCGATGTAAAACCTATAGGTTGCAAATGGGTGTATTCTGTGAAATTAAATTCTGATGGGTCCCTCAACCGTTACAAGGCTCGTTTGGTTGCGTTAGGAAACAAGCAGGAATATGGAATTGATTATGATGAGACATTTGCACCGGTTGCCAAAATGACAACTGTCCGCACGATCATCTCTATAGCTGCTTCTAATGGTTGGACTCTTCATCAAATGGATGTGAAGAATGCTTTTCTTCATGGTGACCTGAGAGAAGATATTTATATGACTCCACCTCAAGGCTTATTCTCGTCATCTAAAGGCGTGTGTAAGCTCAAACGCTCCTTATATGGTTTGAAACAGGCACCTAGAGCATGGTACGAGAAATTCCGCTCCACTCTACTTGAATTCTCCTTTATTCAGAGTCAGTATGATTCATCTTTATTTATTCATAGCACATCTACGGGTATTGTTCTGCTTCTTTTGTATGTTGATGATATGGTTATTACTGGTTCAGATCATGCTTCCATTCAGCGACTTAAGCAACAGTTACAAGCCTCATTTCACATGAAAGATCTGGGTAATCTACATTATTTTCTTAGTCTTGAGGTTCATTCTACATCCAAGGGCATCTTTCTCCATCAACACAAGTATGCTACAAATTTGATTTCTATGGCCGGTCTAGAATCGGCTAACCCGGTAGATACTCCTCTTGAGGTTAATGTTAAATATCATCGTGATGATGGTGATCTTTTGCCTGATCCCTTATTGTATCGACAACTTGTGGGCAGCCTCAACTACTTGACTATTACTCGCCCTGACATATCTTTTGTTGTTCAATAAGTAAGTCAATTCATGCATTCTCCTCGTCATCTTCACTTGGTTGCGGTTCGTCGTATAATTCGCTACTTAAAGGGAACCTCTCACCGCGGATTATTCTTTTCCGTTGGAATTTCTCTTCAGTTGAGTGCTTATAGTGATGCTGATTGGGCAGGGTGTCCTGATACTCGTCGATCTGTTACTGGTTGGTGCATGTTTCTTGGTTCTTCATTGATCTCTTGGAAAAGTAAGAAGCAAGCAAGAGTTTCTAAATCTTCTACTGAATCAGAGTATCGTGCCATGTCTGCTGCTTGTTCAGAAATACTTTGGCTTTGTGGTCTTTTGGCTGAACTTGGATTTCCCCAAACAGAGTCAACTTCACTTTATGCTGACAATACAAGTGCCATTCAAATTGTTGCAAATCCTGTTTTTCATGAGCGCACCAAACATATCGAAGTTGATTGTCATTCAATACGTGACGCCTACGATAATCGAATAATATCACTTCCTCACATCAGTACTCAGTTGCAGGTTGCAGATATTCTTACCAAGGTTGTTCCACGCCCACGACATCAGTTTCTTGTTAGCAAATTGATGCTCCTTGACCAGCCGCATCAATTTGAGGGGGGATGTTAATCAGGAAATAATCAAACACATTTATTGTATATAATTTACATTCATAGAATAGGAAATTGCCATTATAAGTTGTAATTAGTTATTATGAGTTGTAATTAGTCATTATGAGTTGTAATTACCGACACTATTATATATAGTATCAAATGCAATGAGAAATGCATCAAGCCAGAATTCATGACATGGTTGTCATTATAAAGCTGAAAAATAATGTATTTACCATATAAACTCCAACTCATGAGAAAGTTGAAAGTGTAGGAGCATAACCATGCACCAAACCAGTTCACTAATGTGGCTATGCTTCCTGCCTGTCCTTTAATGTTCACAGGAAATATCTGCAACACAAGGTAATATTTCAGCAAAATTTGTGCCATCTTTTTGCCAAGTAAAATCACACTAATTCTGATATAGCAGACATGTTTCATAACTGATGAATTCAAAAGGACCGAGGCGTACCTCAGACATCACAACCCATGGAACTGCTCCCATTCCTATTGAAAATGATCCTGCGTAGACCTAATATCAGTAATAGAAAGAGCAAATGTTACATGGAGAATGGCTTCACGTTTCCGAGATGCGTAAAACATGAAATCATCAACAGAGAAAGAGTAGTTTGCATACGAGTATGCCGGTTACAGCCAGTGCTGGGACTTCCCCCACACCCACATTATGAACCTGTTACTCACAAGGATATCACTTTTACATACATATCCGGATTAAAAACTTGAAGCTATAATGCTTTTAGTTGGGATGTACCTTAAGATAGAATGCAACTGCCATAAATATACATCCTGCAATCATTCCTGATCCAGATGCCTAGTGAAACGGAGAAATAACAATAACAATATCATACATGAAGAGGATAAAAGCAAACAAAAGTTTGAAGATAAGTTACTTTGTGCGTTAAATTTACCAATAGTAGGGGCTTCCTGCCTGCTTTATCTATGAGGGTTGCTCCAACACCTGTGATCACAATCTGCGAAAATAAAAAACATGATTTAATTAGTTAGGAAGGTTAAAAAAAACAACTTTTCAATGAGTCCTAGTCAAGTTAAAAATAAGAACCTGACAAATAGCAAAATATATACTCCCGGCCGTGGAAGGAAATCCTACCACAAAATTAAAATACACAAATACACAAGAGCAAAATAAGAAACCGAGCTCTTCATGAAGTTTTAAAATACGACTTCATTGGGAATTATGAGTCATGCAATTGTCAGATTTTGAATGACAAGTTATGATTAGAGAGTAGTATGTACCTGCTAGGTCAAAAATACTGCTGGCATAAAAAACAACTCCGTTGATTCCACCAAATTGCTGGCAGATCATTAGGCCTATTCCAATCTGGTCATGAATACATCGAAATTTGTATTTGTTGGATTAAAGAAAATAGGAAGATGAAAATTTTGAATGGAATGCACATAAGATTTTCCTGAATACAAGAATAACATGAGAAGGTGGAAAATAAACTATCATTTTCCACACACACCCTTAGAGAAAATGAACTGATATCAACAGTGGAACTATAGTTACCTACCGTGAGTGAGCGTAAATATCTTTTTTGAAACAAATCCAGCACCTTCGGTTTTGAAAGTTTTTCTAAAGTAGTTATATAATCCTGTGTGGCAGTAACAAATACACCAGCTTAAGACAAAGTCATAGAAATATCAGAGAAATATATCCAACACATAGTAACCTGAATTTCTTCCGCTTCATGAGATATATCATAATCTTTACCGCGAAGTATTTGCAATGCAGCAACAAAATCTTTCGTTCGTCCTCTCTTTGCCTGCAGACCTTATTTGGTTGGTACTTGAAACTCTTGATGTAGTGCTAAACACTTCATATTTTACTCTAAATACATTTATATAGAAATTTATTGCTTACAACTTACAAGCCATCTAGGAGACTCTGGAATGAAGAATAGACCCAAAAGCAACACAGCATTGGGAATAAGTCCTGTAATTGCAAACATTTATTTAGCAACACAAGTTTCAATTAAGTTATAATGTTCTACATTTGTGTGTTCTTCATATAGTCTTCTTTTTAGTGAAATTATAGTCAATTTGCAAAGAAAACTGACCAACTAAAGTTAAAGCCCTCCATGAAAGTATTGTGCCAATTACGAATGCTGTGGATGCCCCAGTAACAACCATGAACTACAAAAGAAGAAAAACAAACTTATATGACAATGCTACCTTCATTGCATACTGATTTAGATACTTATATAATACTAGTTATTAAGTTATTATCATGATCATAGAGTTGCAATGTGTAGCAAAAATATACCTGATTTAAGGTAGTGAGGGCTCCTCGGAGTTCTTTTGGTGAGATTTCTGCTATGAAGATTGGAACCTTATATGATAATAATACATCAAATATCAAGTCACACTTAAATAACTTGAACACATGCAAGAGTTTAAAAAATGAAAATTTGAGAATCAATTCATTGAACAAGTAGAACTACAACGAACCACAAATGAAAAGACTCCCATTCCATATCCTGTTGCTAGTCTCCCAATATCCAAAGAAACTGGACCCTAAATGTATGTATAAGAGATCAAGAAAAAAGCTACTCAGTTAATCATTGGAGAACAGTTATGACAAAAAAAAATCACATAGGTTTGTAGTAAGAACTTTTGAAAAATAAATAACAAGCCATCCTGCAATGCAGAAAGCACTCGGTACTCTCATTGCCTGCAGTTATATTCCAAAACCAACTTAATACATCAAATAATAAAGATAGTTAATGAGTTTGAAGCTAATTTTAAAACAATCATAATCATTTTCCTGCAATTACCCCCTTTCGACCAACGAAATCAGCAATAGGACCACTTGTTATTGCACCAATCATCGCACCGAAAGTCAAGATGGAGCCAAACAAGGAGTACTGCATTCATTCAATCAGAAAAAAACCAAAGAAAATAACATGAAGTCCACCACAGGAATCAAATCCACTAAGTAGGAAATAATACAAACATTTTTAGTGCATGATAATCAAATGTTGAATAATTTGTGGCTAACCTCTGCCAAAGACAGATTAAGATCCTTCCTGATAGCTTCTTGAGTTGGAGATGAATAACCGCACTGAAAAATAAAATAACAGTTATTCAATTAAACTAGCAAGCAAAAAGTGTTTATTTTTGCTGATTTTCAAGTATAGAACAGGTTTATAGTAAGTAAAGATAGAAGTGGTGAAGTAAGGACTTACACAAGTACCAAATTCAAAAGAACCACAAACAGCAATGAATGTGGTGAAGTAAACCATCCATGGATGATCATGATGTTTGGTTTCATTGACAAGTTGTTTGTTGTTTTCCCCTAACAATGCTTCTCTTACTCCTCTCTGCTTACCACCCTCAACATCCTCTTTCATTTCCATCTTCACTTGTATCAATATTCAATGTAAATATCAAATAAATGGTTCATTGATGAAGCACTTTTATATACCAATACATTTATCTAACTGTTCCTCTGCCGTAAACACCAGCAAACTCTCATTCCGGCGGATTGCTTACCATAACGCTCTCATGAGATTCCATATCTCATTTGTGGTTACCAATTTAAAATGAGAAATTTGAGGTTTATATGTTTTTGTATAAGAGAATGATTGAATTATTAATTTCTATAGGGTACTACATAACACAAGTTAGTGATTTGGGGAAACTTATTGATCTATTTATGTTACATGGAATTAGAACAGAAAAACGGATACAAGCATGAGAGGTAGATAAAACGTGAGATCTGTTCCATGAGAGAAATAAGTGGGTACGTACAGAGAAAAAAGGCTAAAAATTTAGTGTGGTAATGAATAACACAGCCATTAAGGTCTTTTTAATTTAATGGCCCCCAAAAGAAGTGATACATGGATTAGGGACTTAGTTTCAATTCACAATTAATGAAATGGAAAAATTGATCTTACCAATGTTTTTATATAATTAATTAGAGTAATTGCTTTTTTAAAATAATGTCTTACGACATCAACTTAACGTGTTTGGATCTCATCTCATCTTCCTTGCATCGATGATTGTGATGGTTGATAATGCAAGCTACCATCATAGAAAGATGATTGTGATGGAAGTTAATGATAATCATCCTAAGGCATGGAGCTTTTGATCAGTTATCAAATTTGTCTAATAAGAATGGAAAATCAGCTAGTCAATATAAGCAACCAAATATTACAAGGAATCATGAACTTGTCAAATTTCAAGAGGTTATTTAACATTAACTTGGGAAAAGGTTTTTCGAATACTTTATGAAACTGCTGTTAGGGGAAAAAAGCATTCTACATAATTTGTGCTTTTTGTGGTTAAACTTACTTTGTAAGTTATTTTCAAAGCATACTGTTTTATAAATCAATGACATTAAGACATCCAATGCAAGTTATAAACGATAGTGAATTCAACTATCAAATACAGAAGCAAACAGACAAAAAATACGGCTCACGATTCAATCTTCAATTTGCATCCTTATTGTTCCACGGAACACAGAAAATCACAAACTTCTTAGGCATTAATGGCTGCCTGTAATTGTTCAAGGCTTTTACCTTTGGTTTCTGGAACTACTACAACTATAAACAGTATAGCTAATACATTGATTGCAGCATAAAGAATGAAGGTACCTGAAAATCATAATCACAAAGTAAACATGCATTGTTCTATAGGTTTCGTGAAATAAAATCGGGAAAACGATTATCATATGATAATGCTTATCGTTACTCCTTTAAATGAAATAAAGCTGAAAAGTAATGTATTTACCATAGGAGCTCCAACTCATGAGAAAGTTGAAAGTGTAGGAGCATAACCATGCACCAAACCAGTTCACCAATGTGGCTATGCTTCCAGCCTGTCCTTTAATATTCACAGGAAATATCTGCAACAGAAAGTAATATTTGAGCAAAATTTGTATCATTGCCAAGTAAAGTCCTACTGATTCTGATAAAGAAGACATTGTTTTATAACTGACGAATTCGAAGGGATCGGGGCGTACCTCAGACATTACAACCCAGGGAACAGCTCCCATTCCTATTGCAAATGATCCTATGTAGACCTAATGTCATAGAAAGATTAAATATCGCATGGAGAATGAGTTCATATTTTTGAGATGCATGGAAAAAACATCACTAGAGAAAAAGTCGCAGCCATACCAGTAAACCGGCTAGGGCAAGAGCTGGAACTGCTCCCACACACACATCATGAACCTATATCAATTTTACATAAATATCTGGATTAAAAACTTGAAGCTGTAATATTTTTAGTCGGGATATACCTTTAGATAGAATGCAACTGCGGTAAATATACTTCCTGTAACCAGTCCTGATCCAGATACCTAATTGAAACAAAGAAATAACAATAACAATATCATACAATACATGAAGAGGATAACAAAGTTTGAAGATAATTTGTTTTGTGTTTTGAATTTACCACTAGTAGAGGCTTCCTGCCTACTTTGTCTACAAGGGCTGCTCCAACGCCTGTGACCACAATCTGCAAAATTAAAAAACATAATTGAGTTGGTTTGAATTTGAATGGTGAAAATAATAGATTTTTCATGAATTATTGGATTAGTTAGAAATAAGAACCTGAAGGATAGCAAAAAGTATACTACCGGTCGCGGAAGGAAATCCTACAACAAAATTAAATTACACAATACGCCAGAGCAAAAATAAAAATCCGAGTTCTTCATGAAGTTAAGTTTTAAAACATGACTTTCATTGGGAATTACAGTTTCTATGCAAGTGACAGACTTTGAATAAAGATTTGCAATTAGAGAAGTAACTACCTGCTAGGTCAAAAACACTGCTAGCATAAAAACCAATTCCATTGATTCCTCCAAATTGCTGGCAGACCATAAGCCCTACTCCAATCTAGTCATGAATACATCCTTAACTTTTTTCTCAATTCAACAATAACATGAAAAGGTGGAAATTGAATTATCATTTTCCACACACACCCTTGAAGAAAATGAACTGATATCGATAGTGGAATTATAGTTACCTACCGTGAGTGAGCGCAAATATCTTCTTTGAAACAAATCCAGCATCTTCGGTTTTGCAAGCAGTTCTAAACTAGTTATATAATCCTATGTGGCAGTAACATATACACAAGCTTAATTGTGTTATATTTGGAAAGCTTTGTCTTTGGTGTTGTGCATGATAGCAAAGTCACAAACATATAGTAACCTGAATTTCTGCTGCTTCTTGAGATATATCAGCATCTTTACCGCGAAGTATTTGCAATGTTGCCACAAAATCTTCCGTGCGACCTCTCCTTGCCTGGAGTAATTATTTTGTTGGTACTTAGCACCTAATGAGTTAATATCTATGAAGCACGGACACCTCTAGAAGTAGCTGTGTCGCGGTGTTTGACACTTGTATGACATGTGTTGGAAAAGTCAAACAAGTGTCGGAAAAGTCAGACAAGTGTCCCTACAAAATAGTTTTTTTCCCTTCTTCGACACATTTTGAATCGGTGTCCGATACCCATTTGACACTCATATAACATGTGTTCAATAATTCAGATAAGTTTCCTTTGAAAGAATTGTGTTTTCCTTTTCGTCAACACACTTTACACATTTTTTTAGACAAATCTCACGCACGATTAAAAAGGTTAAACGTGTATTGAAGAAATATTATCAATGAAGAATTAAAGATATTCATTTTGATTAGAATATTTTTAATTCTTTTGATACTAGATGAATAAATGAAACTTAAATACTATGACATATATAGCGGTGTCGGTGTTCTAGGTTTTTGACATATTGGTGTCGGAGTGTCTGTGTCGTGTCGCGGTGTCGGTGTCAGAGTTTGTGCTTCATAGCTTAATAATTTAGGCTAGATACATTTATACGGGAATTTATTACTTACCAACCATCTAGGAGACTCTGGAATGAAGAATAGACCGAAAAGCAACACAGCTGTGGGAATAAGGCCTACAATTGCAAACACTTATTTAGTTCTGTTCAAATTTATTACTTACCAGCCATCATCTAAGTTCAAATTTCAAATAAACGTTTACCGATTATAGATAAATCCCTCCATGAAAGTATTGTTCCTAATATGAATGATGCGGATCCCCCAATAACAATCATGAACTACAAAAGAAGAAGAAAAACAAACTTATATGTCAGTGCTATGTTCATTGCAATTACTTGTATTTAAGTTGTTTTCATGATACTTGAGTTACAATTTGTAGCAAAACAATGCCTGATTTAAGGTAGTCAAGACTCCTCGACGTTCTTTTGGCGCAATTTCTGCTATGAAGACAGGAACCTTTATATAATAACACATCGAATATAAAGCACACATCAATAAGTTGAACATATGCAAGTGTTTAAAAATGAAAAAATTGAGAATCAATTCATTGAACAAGTAGAACTACAACGAACCACAAATGAGAAGACTCCCATTCCATATCCTGTTGCTAGCCTCCCAACATCCAAAGGAACTGGACCCTAAATACATATATAAGAGAATAAGAGAAAAGCTACTCGGTTAATCCTTGGAGAACAGTTATGACAAAAAAAATCACACAGGCTTTATAGTAAGAACCTTTGAAAAATAAATAACAAGCCATCCTGCAATACAGAAAGCACTTGATACTCTCATTGCCTGCATATATATATTCCAAAACCAACTTTTTATGAATACTCCAAATAGTAAAGATGATTAACAATTGGAAGTTATTTCCAAAACAATCATCATCATGTTACTGAAATTACCCCCTTCCGTCCAACAAAATCAGCAATAGGACCACTTGTAATTGCGCCAATCATTGCACCGAAAGTCAAGATGGAACCAAACAAGGAGTACTGCATACATTCAATCACCAAAAACCAAAGAAAACTACATCAAATCCACTGAGTAGAAGTTATACAAACTTTTTTAGAACATTATTAATCATTTTCAGTACATTTCCTATGTTTTAATTTACTAACCTCTGCCAAAGATAGATTAAGATCCTTCCTGATAGCATCTTGAGTTGGAGATGAATATCCAACCTGGAAAATAAGAATTATTCCACAGGGAAATAATTAATCTATAAAACTCTTGGTCAACTAAACTATCTAGCATCTTGAAGCTATATAAAAAAGTGGTTATTTTTGGTGATGTTGAAATATAGAGGAGCTTTATAGTAAAACATAGAAGTGGTGAAGTAAAGACTTACACAAACACCAAATTCAAAAGAACCACAAACAGCAATGAATGTGGTGAAGTAAACCATCCATGGATGATCATGATGTTTGGTTTCATTGACAAGTTGTTTGTTGTTTTCCCCTAACAATGCTTCTCTTACTCCTCTCTTCTTACCACCCTCAACATCCTCTTTGATTTCCATCCTCATTAGTTCCTTGGGGGTACTGATGACTATGATGATAGTGACT